CCCAAGATCCTGAGAGGAGAATGGAGGAGAAGGGATTGCGGCGTGACCATCCCCCCTGGGGGGGGGTGATTTCTCGCTTTCTGTCTCTATGTCTCTGTCTGTCTGGCAAGCACACGCGCCCTATAGCGAAAACCTTCCCCCCCACACCTCCCCCAAAAAAGCAGCTGCCAGGTTTGGGACTCACACCGTGGAAGCCCAGCACCTTAACGACCACACCACTTGCCAACCCCTCCTATGAACTTCTTGAAGTCTCCTCATATTGTATATATATTTTCACCTGCTAAATCTGGAAACCCTACTGTAAAGGAAAGAGACTCCAGTGTGTATGAAAGTTTTTAACTACACGTCGAAGACAAGAGGATGAAACCTACGATATTACACATGACGATGGTGCCTTCGAGGCTCTCTTGGTAACCTCAGATGCCCATGCTCAAATTCTATGGTTAAAGCAATGACATATACATAGATGAGCTGGTAGCTCTTAAAATCCTGTGTCCAGTTTTTGAAAGAGTTAAAAAGAGAAAGAAATCTATAGCATAGTATCATTTATGCAAATTAAAATCACAGGCATGCTGAGTATTTTACAAGAAAACAAAGACTCAGGACAAGGACATGTATTAAATATGCAGAGTGAGTACTTACAGGGAAGAAAAGAAAATGGGGAGCAGGGATGAGGGGATGAAAGAATATGAAACAACAGGCCAGGCCCTGCGTGGACTTGTAATGACAGGGGGCTGAGGATTGTACAACTTCATGTGCTCAAATCTCTGCCCGTGAGGTTTAGCAAACAAATAATAAGTAAATGTTAGAGGAAGGACAACACTGAGGTGAAAGGGAAACCAAAAAGGCAAGTTTAAATCCAAAGGTTTTAAATCACTTTGCAATGGTGTTCCTCTCACCATTTTTCTCTGAGGAAAATATGAATTGGGAACATCAAAACAGAAAATTTGTATAAATAGTGATTTTTTGATTCTAGAACATCATAGATACCATAATCTAAAACCTACCAGATTTTAAAAAAATTTTAAAAGTTGGTGGCATGGTCAGTAGTGTACTGTACTTCTGAGCTGAAAATCACATGGCCCACCATGGGTTCAAATCCCTGGGCCAGTCGACCTGAAACATGCTAGGTGTGTGTGTGTGTGTGTTCCTACCCCAAACCCTGATGAACTGGAGGGTTAGGGAAGGTTATTGAAGCCTAATGAGACCCTGTTTCTCTCTCTCTTTCTCTCTTGCAGATGTATTCACATGGCCTCTATTAGGAATAAGATAAACTTTAGACAACTGTAAAATCTAGGGCCAGCAGGTAGCAGGGTGGTGAAGGCACAGGAGCCCACATGACTGACTTTGCAATTTGAGTCCCAACCCACTGGCTTGAAAAGCACACTGGGTGTGTGTTCTTCTATGTCCAAAATCCTGACAGGAGAATGGAGGAGAAGGGATGGTGGTGTAGCCATCCCCCGGGGGTGGGGTGATTTCTCACTTTCCCTCTTTCTATGTCTCTGTCTCTCATGTGCGAGTGCATGTGCCCTATGGCAAAAATCGAACAAAACAAAGAAACAAAAGTTTAAAATATACTAACTATCCTGCAAATTCATAGCCAAACTTACAATAAAACAGAGCCAGAATAAAAATGCAATGAAAAACCCCAGAATGAGGGACCAGCAGATGGCAGAGTGGTTACATTGCTAGACTTGCAAGTGGCTGACTTGTGGTTTGAGTCCCGGACCAGAGGCTTAAAACTCACATCGGGCACGTGTGCATGTATGCCCAAGATCCCGGGAGGAGAATAGAGGGGAAGGGACTATGGCATGGCCATCCTCCCTTGGGAAAAAACTCAGAATAAAAAATGCACACATTGTTATGAAACTGCATAGTTTTCTTTCCTCTTTTAATTTTAGCTTGCTTCTAGAAAATAGTCAAATATTTTTAAAAAGTCATTAATAGCAACCAAGTTTAAAACATACAGAGAAAGAGGAGCTCTTTTACATTGCCAGAGGGAATGTAAATGAATTCAGTCACTATGGAAAACAGTATAGGGGTTCCTCCTATACTAAAAATAGAACTGCTGTATTTTTTAAAAACTTTATTATTATTATTTTAATATTTCTATAGA